CTGAGGGGGGCGACTTTTTCCATCCTCCTTTTACTTGGCCAGTTTTTAGTGCACTCACGGCCACTACCCACCTATCGCTATTAAAGCCCATTCTCAGGAAAGAATCTGAGGAACACCCTCAAATGAAACTGAACATAATGGCTAAGTATAGTGAAAGTGAAATTTCTCTCTGCTTATATCTAATGATGGGACTTCGGCCACCATCTGGCAGAGTGAATTAACATACGACAGGAAGGTTATCTTATAAGCTTTCCTATATTGAGATCATTTGTAGGAAGCATGTGACACAATGCTGAACACATAGTAGGTGCTAAATAAATTGGCTTCCATTTCTTCTCTTCATCTTTTTTTTTAAGTAATTAATTAAAAAAAAAAGTAATTTCCACTCCCAACATGGGGCTTGAACTCACAACCCTGAGATCAAGAGTCACATGCTCTTCCAACTGAGCCAGCCAGGTGCCCCTCTTCTTATTTCTTTTTAATGTACCTTTAAAATGTTGCCATACAGGGACACGTGGGTGCCTCAGTGTTGAGCATCTGCCTTCAGCTCAGGTTGTGATCCCGGGATCCTGGGATGGAGCCCCACATCGGGCTCCCCGTGGAGAGCCTGCTCCTCTCTCTGTCTCTCAGGAATAAATAAAATCGTTTTTTAAAAAATGATGCCTCACAATTTGTACACCAATATTTGTACAGCAGTATTAGTCACAATAGCTAAAACCCAAGTGTCCACCAATGGATGAATCAGTAAACAAAATGTGATATATACATACAAGGGAATACTGTTCAGCCCTAACAAGGGAAGGAGTTCTACAATATGGATAAATCTTGAGGACATTATGCTAAGTGAAAAAAGCCAGTCACCAAAAAGACCAATTACTGTATGATCCTACCTATATGCAGGTACTTAGAAAAGTCAAAATCATAAAGATAAGAAAGTATAATGTGGTTGCCAGGGGCTGGGAGGAGGAGAGGATGGGGAGTTATCGTCTAATGAGTATAGCGTTTCAGTTTTACAAGAAAAAAGGGTTGTAGGGATGGATGGTAGTGATGATTGCACAACAACGTAAATGTATTTCCACTGAACTAACCGTACATTTTAAAAATGGCTTGGGATGATAAATTTGATATTGTGTATGTGCATTTTACCACAATAAACAAGTGCCATACAAATGGCCACCTAATATTTTTTTTAAAAGATTTTGTATTTGTGGGTAATCTCTATACCCAACATAAGGCTTGAACTTAGAACCCCCAAGATCAAGAGTTGCATGCTCCACTGACTGAGCCAGTCAGGCATACCCGGTCACCTAATCTTCTAAACTGAATGTCAATTCTTCTTAAAACAATAGGAAATTCTGTAGGGGAAGTATGTGGAGTGGTAAAACACTTGGGCTCTGGCAACAGAATGTGTGTAGGTTCAAATCTGTGTTCTCTGTTATTATTTGCCGTGCAACTTGCTTGGGAAAATTGCTAATCTTTTTGTACCTTAGTTTCTTCACCTATAAGGTATAAATAATGAAGAAGATACCTGTCCCATGAAAGCATTATAAGGATTAAAAAAGGCATAGCATGCCATGTATTTGGCACGGCGCTTGGCAAAGTAAGTGGTCAAGAAATACAAGCTGTTATAATATGATTTTCCGGGTTGATATTTAAGCAGCTTGGCAAGAAGAGCTTCATGGTTTCTGACTACCTCTTCCCATTCTCATCCTGGTCATTGATTTCTTTCCTATTCATGACATCTCAAAGCCACATTTAGGATTTCAGGCATGACCTTCAGCCACATTTGAACACTTTCTTGGAGCCTAAGTCTACATTCCCTCATTAGATACGTACCTAGATGCAAATCTAGAGTATCCTGTCCCATTTCATTTGTTTATATCTGCTAAATGTTAATGTTCTGAGTAATAGTGAAGTCTTACTTATGCCCAGAACAAATTTGGAATATAATCTTTTATGATAAAAATCTGGGGTCTTCCTATATAGGTGCATGTATACATGCTTCGAATGGGATATTATAATTAAATGTCATTTATTAAAAATATAAAACTCCAGGCAGCCAGGGTGGCTCAGTGGTTTAGCGCCACCTTCAGCTCAGGGCATGATCCTGGAGACCCAGGATGGAGTGCCACGTGGGGCTCCCTGCATGGAGCCTGCCTCTCCCTCTGCCTGTGTCTCTGCCTCTGTGTGTGTGTGTGTCTGTCTCTCATGAATAAATAAATAAAAATCTTAAAAAAAAAAAACCCTCCAGTAGCCACTGGGTTTGTAGATTTTTGCTTTCTTATCTCAGTCCTGAAGAGGTCTAGCAGTTATGATTTCCTGAAGCCAATGTGAAGAGAAAAACTGGGTTGATGTGTAAGTACGGTATATCAGTACAGGAGGGATGATTTGAAGTGCTACTGCACACTGGTAGGAGTCATGGTTTGGAATTAGATCTGAGTTTGAATCTTAGCTCTACCATTACAGACATTTACCTAATTTTTCTTATCTATTTCCTTCCCTGAAAATTGGGGAAAATAATACCCAATTATTTAAATAATTGGGTATTAGCAATTATTAATTATAATTATTATAATTATTAACAATACCCTTATTGTTTTAAGGTTTGCATGAGGTGATGCCTGGCAAATAGTAAGAACTCAAGAAATAGTAATTATTTCATTTATTCTTTCCAGAGGAAGGAGATGGATTGACAAATACTTGGGGTCTTTTCAAACCATATATCACCTGGTCAGTTTCTGCGTTCTTTGAGACTTGTTAATCCCTTTATTATCACTTGCTCTTTGGTAACAAAGAGGAACTGATTGCCAATTCATTTCAGAATGTGTGTATTATATTTGATGGGTCATACTAGCAAACAATAGAGTGGGAGTGGGGAAATGGATGCAGTGAGTTCATTCACATACCTGGGAAAAGTCAATAATGAAGACAGACAGAGCCGTAATTTGTATGTCATACTGGAGAGAGGAAAACACGGGTGCAGGATTTGAAGCAGGGATCACGAGTTAGAAACGCTGAAGTTCTTTCCTGGTATCTAACTCCATGCATTTTGGTTGTATCTTTGCTCCTATTTTCTCATACTGTTAAAATTTAGGATAATAGAGTTTAGATGTTTGTACAACCCACATTAATATAGAAAAAAGGTGACATTGAAATTCAAGCGGAGCTATGCAAATGTGCTGAATGCATTCATTAGTTTAAATGCGTGTACCTTTCTACTAGGGTGAAAGGCACCTTTTATTTGCACTGTACTCGGGTGACCACAAATCAACCGTCTTGTTAACTTACAAGTAGACACCCTTTCCTTAGTTGTGGAGGCAGTCAAGAGACCCACATTTTTACCCTCATTTTGGATACTTGAATTCACTGTGTCCTTGCTTCTACACAGCAGGATTCAGGACTCAATAAACCTGGGCTCTTTAAAAGCCATCATCCTGCAGGTGCACGGTCCACACACCCACACCTGCAGAGGCTTAGCTGCCCCCAGGCCCAGAGTGCAAGCCGGCGTCTCCGGCCCGGCCCGGGTCGGGTCGGGGTGAACCTCCCCTCAAAGCCTGGGTTCCCTCGGGTGTCTCAGGCACGACGTCTTGCTGCCAGAGACTAGGAAGTCCCTGGGGGGGGGGGGGCGGGCTGGTTCACACACCTGGGCTCATCCGCGCGGTCCCTAACACGCACCTGGAGCCTGCCTTCGGGACGCACGCGGGGCTGCAAAGGAGACCATGAAGCCAGTCCTGAGCGCGCCCGGGACCGAGCGGGGACGTCCCTCCCCCTGGGTCCCCCCGGGAGCGCGTGCGCCCCGGGGCTTGGGCCCGCACCTGGCGACCCGGTCCCCTCGGGCGGCCGCGGAAGCCCCCGGGGCCCCACCGCTGCATTTTGTCCCCGCTGCCGCGTGCACCTTGCGAGCGTCGCACGGACCCGGCGAGGCTCTCGGAAGAAGGGTGAGCGAGGGGGCTCGGGAGTGGGCGGCCGCGTGGCGCAGGGGGCGGCCCCGGGACCGACGGGCTCCCGCGGAGCGACGGGGACCCGACCCCGGACTGCGGCCGCCGCGGTAGGGATGCGGGGGGTGGGGGGTGGGGAGGGAGAGACCCGGAGCGGCGGGGGCGCACCGTAGGGACGCGGGCGGGGGTGGGGGAGGGAGGGACCCGGGGCGGCCGGGGCGCACGGTAGGGACGCGGGCGGGCGGGGGGGGGGTTGTGGAGGAAGGGAGAGACCTGGAGCGGCCGGGGCGCAGGGTAGGGACGCGGGACGGTGGTGGGGGCTGGTGGGGGCGGGAGGGAGACACCTGGAGCGGCCGGGGCGCAGGGCAGGGACGCGGGCGGGGGGGTGGAGGAAGGGAGAGACCTGGAGCGGCCGGGGTGCACCGTAGGGACGCGGGACAGGGGTGGGGGCTGCGGGGGGTTGGGAGGGAGACACCTGGAGCGGCGGGGGCGCAGGGTAGGGACGCGGGACAAGGGTGGGGGTTGGGGGGGAGTGTGGGGGGGAGAGACCCGGAGCTGCCGGGATGCGGGGGGCGGACCCCCTGCTGGACGGGCTCCCGCGGAGCGACGGGGACCCGACCCCGGACAGCGGCTGCCACGGTAGGGACGCGGGCGGGGGGCGGGAGGGAGAGACCCGGAGCGGGGCGCTCGGTAGGGACGCGGGGCGGGGTTGGGGCTGGAGGGGGGCGCGGGAGGGAGACACCTGGAGCGGCCCCGGCCCGGGGCGCAGGGCAGGGACGCGGGCGGGAGGGAGCGACCCGGAGCGGCCGCGCGCGCAGGTGGAGGAAGCGGCTCGGGCAAGTTGGGGGCCGGGCCGGGCGGCGCCCAGCTTTTAACCTGGGCGTTGGAGGCGGGGGAAGGAGCGAAAGCGAAGGGGAGGTGTGCGGGGCAGGGGTGGGGGGAGGCTGGCGGGCGGCAAATGACATCACGGCAGGTCAGAGAAAAAGGGGCGAGCAGCCCGCGGCGGCGGGGCGGGAGCAGGGCGCTTGGCAGCAGGAGCTCGCGCCCGGCCTGCCCGGCGGGGCCCGACGCGCGCGGAGACCATGCAGAGGTCGCCCCTGGAAAAGGCCAGCGTCCTCTCCAAACTTTTCTTCAGGTGAGGGGGCGTCCTGCTGAGTTTTGGAAGGACACGTGCCCGCGAAAGAAGAGGGTGTGTGTGTGGTCGCTGGGTTTTGGGGAAAGAGGAATAGCTTTTTTTTTTTTTTTTTTTTTTTTTTTTTTTTTTTTTTAAGATGCGCTGTCATTCATTGTTGTAAAGGAGGCTGGGGATGTTGGGAACAAAATAGAAGGCGTTGGGAGGAGGAGATTAAAGACCCACGGGAGCCAGTCGTCCGGATAGAGAGCTTCACCTTCACTTCGAAGGCTGAACTACTCGCAACTGGAAACTGTACTCTCAAGGCCCAGATGTACTACTGTGCAAGTGTTTTCTTAGTTTTTTCTAAGAAACTGATGAATTACAAACTTGTTGATAGGGGCACCTGGGTGGTTCGGTGGTTGAGCATCTGCCTTTGGCTCAGCGCGTGACCCTGGGGTCGCGGGAGCCTGCCTCTCCCTCTGCCTGTGTCTCTGCCTCTCTCTCTCTCTCTCTCTCTCTGTGTGTGTGTGTCTCATGAACAAATAAATCTCAAAAACAACCTGTTGATAACAAATACTTAAGTTTGGTCCCTTGTTTCGCCCACTTCGTGCCTTGAAACTTGGGTATCTTGTGGCCTGCCTATTCCAAGTGCCATGCTTGCATGTAGTAGGTGCTCAGAAAACATTTGTTGATTGAATATTGCACTTTTTCTTTACGGGAGACGGGTGAAGTGGGTAATATGAGCTTAAAGTTTTTCTTGTTATGATACTGAGTGAATCTAACACGTATTTGCCAGTATTCTATTATTCTTTTAAGGATGAAAACAAATCCTTTGAAATATCTGTCTTTAAAAAAGCCAATTCTACAAGTTATGCTTTTTTTTTTTTTCCAAGAAGGAGGGGAGGGGCAGAGGGAGAGGGAGAGAAAAATCTTAAACGGGAAACACCAGTCAGCACCTACCTAACCAGGAGCTGGATCCCAGACCCAGAGATCATGACCTGAGCCAAAATCAAGAGTCGAGTGCTCAACTAACTGAGCCACCGAGGCGCCCCTACAAGTCATACATTTTTAAAGGGCAGAGGAGGATCAGAATTATCATGGAAATGTGAAGTCATAGGACTAGATCCTGAAGTTATACACGACTGACATGTAATACATTATACTCTTATCCTACTTTGCATGTAATGAGCCATAAAAGCTTGCAAACTTCATCTAAGGATGTTTTTAAAAGTGGAATCTAAGTTCAGAGTCTTAGGCAAAGTGTAATTAGATGTAGCATTTTAAATTTGAAGTGTTCTTTGCATACTGTATCTACTTTGTTCCTGTTATACTTATGTGGATGAATGAATAGGTGCAGCTCTGTCATGGAATATTACTAGGCTCATAATTATCCAGTGAATCAGCATACTTAGGTATCAGAAAAGTCAAATATAAAAATGCCCACATGTGTGTGTGTGTGGGGGGGAAAGGTACTTTCATATTTTTCCATGTCTTCTCTGCATGTGCAGTAAGCGTGGATCTCAGGTGGTAAGGAATGGCCATTGGCCATTGAAGGAAAGTTCGTCCCTGTGGATAAGACAGAAGGGCTTCACTCCTTGGAATTACCTTTTGTACTTACGTTTTCAGCACCTTTTGTTACTCTGTCTATAAAAATTGGATGATCTGTCCATTTATTTTCCTAGTAATAAAGTCAGAATGCTAATTGGCATAAATCGTAGACTTTTTTAGTAGAGCATATTGAGGAACGTAAGTGCCAATCAGTCTAAAAATGCAGTTTTTAGAAAAATGAATATCCTAGGCCTACTTCTAATTGCTAAGGAACTTTTAATTAGCACATTGTTGATTTAAATTAGATTACTATTGATCTATTTTTTAATAGATCGTCTTATATAAGTTTTAGTATAGCTTAAAAAAATGCTTTGAGGTTGATTTGTTAAAAAAAAAAAATGTATTATAGGGATCCCTGGGTGGATCAGTGGTTTAATGCCTGCCTTTGGCCCAGGGCACAATCCTGGAGTCCTGGGATCGAGTCCCACGTCAGGATCCCGGCGTGGAGCCTGCTTCTCCCTCTGCCTGTGTCTCTGCCTCTTCTCTCTCTCTCTCTCTCTCTCATAAATAAATAAATCTTTAAAAATATATTATAATGGCTACTACATTTGTTAAGAACATACTCATTCCTCTTCTCCAAACTATTTCATAATCAATTGCTCTAAGAAGAGGTGTATTTTAAAAAGTTAAGTTTCTACTATTTATGAGAAAGACAATCACCTAAAATAGCAGTGATTATAAACTTTCTTCTTGGTTTTAATTCTAAAGGGGTAAGAAATTTATTTTCTGCATTGACCACTACTGCTTCGTGGTCAAGGGTGTTAGGCTTTGGATTCAGACTGTTGTGATTCAGAGTGTTTAGATTGAGCTGTGTGACCTGAGGCAAGTCCCTTAACATATCTGTGTTTGCATGGCTTGACCTTTACAACTAGAGACTAATAGGACCTATGTCATTGGGGTTAATCTGTTGAGAAAATGCATGTGAAGCGGTTAGCCCAGTAAATTTTAGCTATTATTATTATTATTTATTATTATATTTTTACATTCATTACCATACCAAGTACTCTGTTTATATAAGATCCTCAATTCATCTTTATTGAATAAAATTTTATGACTATCTGTCTGTAAGATTATGGGCCTGGATGAGAATTTAATTCAGGTAAAATCTCATCTATCATGGCCTTACTAGATATATGAGGGGGGAAAAGTCATATGTTTATATCACAAATTGTTAAATACCTTAGAATTTAACTTTCTGGACATAACCCCTTTAGTTTCGAAGTAAAACTATCATGGCCTGGGTTATAGGTTATATTAAATCTGTCACTGTTTAGGTTTTATTATTGGAAAAGCTAATAAAGTTTGGGATAATTTTAAGTACTTTCCTAATTTTGCATGGGCTTCACATCAAGTTCAAAATTTGAAAGACATCTGAAGCCTTGAATACCTTGGATTTTAGTCATGGCATCCATACCAGGAGTCTAGATCAATGCTTCAAGAATTGTCAGAACCCCACGGAATCTACGTGCCACAGATTCTTACAAAACTGGATGGGGTTCCTGATAAGCTCCGCAGAGAAGTCTCAAATAGGATCAAAGAGTCACTACAGTACTATTAGGATCTAAGGCCAAGAATTGCATAAATCTCTGCTTAATAAGATCATTTAAGATACTTTTATAACTACTAAACACAAAGTGATGAGAGGTTTTTACACAAACTAGATTTATGTATTAGAATGGGTGTGGCGAATCAAAACAGCTATCAATGAAAACCAAACTCCTTCTAAACATCCTGCCTCTGATCAAAATATTTTTGGATTCTTTTTCGGAAATTACCTTTAAACACGGTATGTACGTTTCTTCTCATGGGGAGCTAGTGGCTTCATTGCTTGTAGTCAGAACTTGCATTAGGTTATTAGTCCTATTACCCAGATTGATCACTTGAACTTCTAAATGACTTTTGACTGTATCTTGAAATCAAATCTGCCCTGTAGAGTGTAGATTCTTCATCATAATTTGCTTTGTTAACAGCCTAGTGCTACTTAAGTTTAGGTATTATCATTCAAAAACATGTATTGCAAGCTTAAAAGACATTTCCTAATGAAGAGAAACATTAAGTGCTTTTTTTTTTTTAAACATTAAGTGCTTTGGGATCCCTGGGTGGCGCAGCGGTTTAGCGCCTGCCTTTGGCCCAGGGCGCGATCCTGGAGACCCGGGATCGAATCCCACGTCGGGCTCCCGGTGCATGGAGCTTGCTTCTCCCCCTGCCTGTGTCTCTGCCTCTCTCTCTCTCTCTCTCTCTCTCTCTCTGTGACTGTCATAAATAAATAAATAAATAAATAAATAAATAAATAAATAAATAAATAAATAAAATTAAAAAAAAAACATTAAGTGCTTTGAGCAACAGAAGCATAATTACAATAAGCTTATAATGAAAGAACCATAAAGATCACAGTTTTGAAGAGGACCACCCTTGTTTGATCATACAAGTTATGGCACATTGTAAAAAAATCCATGGCGGTGATTTTGTATTTACATTGTGCTACTCGTTTGTAAGGCATGAGGAAATCTAAAATCATGGCAGAGTCATAAATATCTCTGCAGTTTGTTGGCAGGCATTCATAGAATTGCTGCTGAGAAAGACCACTCGGCCACTCAAACAAGGGTCTAGTCCTGTCCTGGTCAGTACGCAGGCACTGTGTCAGGTGTGTGTCTCGGACGAGGCTGGGCCTATCCAAACCAAAAGAACTAGAGATGCATGAAACAAAAGGCCAGTAGGAGATGCACAACTCCTCTCGAGATGTCCCGCTGCCAAAGGGGTCGGAGTACCAGGAGTCCGTTTAGTCAGTGAACCGATGTCATCCAGTGAGGACAGCGCAGGGTTTCCTCCTCTGCCGTGGCTTTGTCTCCTGTAGAACCGAAGGAGACCACCCGCGGAACACACACCCCTTTCTCTTGGACAGCGTGGCCTGAGCACTGACAGATGTTGACTCCTACAGCGGTCCCAACCTGGAAACATGTCAGTCTTGATTGGCTTTAACTTTCACCGTTCTAAGATGATCTCTTTGGCATGATGTGGCTGAAATCGAACTTATGTATATTTTAATATATAAAGTATATGTATATATAATTAAATTTCTTTTAGTAGATATATATATGTAAAATATATGTATATATAATTAATTTTTTTTTTAGTCAGTTTTGCTAGTTTAAAAAATTTCCTCCTTGGTTTTGAACTATTTCAATAGTTCAAATTAGTACTTACTTGACAGTCCAGAGGTATTCTTAAAATACTTAAAAACACATGGCACAGATGGGTTAGCTTCAATGCTCAATTCTTTGTTAAACAGGAAGTGGAATCTATGTTTCTTAGCCCTTTCATCAATATTTTATGTTTGATGCGACAATCAAAATACCCTGTGGAGCCAGCTGGTACACTAGGGAAATCATGGTTTTCCAGTTTTCCGGTTCTGT